TCCACTGTCTTTTAAAAATAGCCACAGAGTCCAGAGAAAGAAATACAGAAGAGGTACATTACAGGATAGTGAGTAATGAAATTATAACTTATGCTGAGTTCTGCAAAAGAAAGAATCATGCAGAGTACACGTTGCAAAAAATGAGAAAGACTCCATCTTGTATCCACAGCACTACAGCTATTTCAGTAGTTAAGTTTGGTTACAAACTCAGTTGTTACAAAAAAGCTTTCCATTTTATTCATTTTTGGTCTGTCTACTCTGCAAAATAATATTGCCCTGGCTCTTTTTGCAGATTACAGTAAGGAAGGGAAAACAAATATATGTCCCTTGATAAGAACTGTTGACAGCCGCATTACATTGTGGAATGCTCAGCATGTTGCAATAATATAAAAGCCTTTTCAGGATTATTGTAGCATTCACCTAATATCATTCATGGCCTTTCACTGCTATGGTGTGAAGTTTTTATGTTGTGCTTTTTACATTTTGTAGGCAGAAACACTTGGCAAACACTTGATTTCTGAATAGCTTATGATTAGGCCTATAAACTTTGCATATGTACACATCATTAATTAAATGCAAAGGAAGAGCTGGCAGTCTTGTGACCCTGTTGCTTTCTCCAGCTGGTAAGACCTCATTCTCCTCAGTGGGATAATAAATAGAGCTGTACAGCACAGTGGACAGCACTCATTTTTTAAAAGTGGTAGGACCCATATCATTAGGACTTAAAGATGTAAGAATGTCATTTGGAATCTCACCTATATATTTTTTGTTTAATTATGTTTATGCTAATAATAATGTTGAGAATATAAATACAGCAACTTTATCACTGTTTAATGGAAAGCAAGGTCAGGCTTGTGTACAGTTCCTCTGAGCTAAATATAATGTAAACAAACAGAGCCTGAATTCAGATGGCATTTTTGTCATTTTTCAGTGTAGTGCTGTGGTGGAAATCTCAAATGTAAGGTGAATGAGTGAGTGTTTTTTTTTCCTTTTCAGTAAATGGTTAAGAAAACACAGAGTAAGTGGAATACAGGTGCATGGAAATCTATTAATTTGTGATAGCCATGGGGAAATTTCGAAGGAGTGCTATGCACTCAAATATTTAGAACTACCTATATTAATTGTTCATAGTTTACCTGATCAGTGGCAGAACTTTAATGCAAAGAGTTTATTTGCAAATAATATCAGGGTGTTCTGTGGGATTTTTGCTTGTCTGTTTACTGTCTCCCTGATAATAATTCTCTGACATCAAGCTTTTCTATATACACTGTATGCTTCTGATATGTCTGCCACCATATTATACATTTTATTAAGTAGTAGTAAAGATTTGTTTGTAAAAACATTAGCAGGAAAACACTGAAGTCAATTCTTGCACATATTGCAGTGCTCTGCTTCATGTGGTCATACTGTATGAATAAACTAGCAACAGAAACATGAATTGTACAAACAGCAGCTGCTGGTGTCAAAGTGTGTAGGAGTTGCTGTGACTTTTTTTCATTTAATTGGTTCAAAAATATAATTAAAATAAAAAAACATGTTCACCCATATGAAAAAAGAGGGGCTTAAAAGGACAGATCGTTCTAAAGCAGATTGCTCTTCACCATAATTTATACCATCCTTAGTCTCCTCTGCCAAGAATGCATGATTCATTATATCTAAATTTCAAACAAATCTTGAAATACAAATGCAATATCATTGAGCACACCACACTGTAGTGAAATTGATCTAACTGATGGTTAAAATACACATTTCTTCTAAATGACATCACTTTGCTATGCACTTAAGTGATTAAAAGGCTGTTCAGCCATCCCATTGTGTAGTACATACAGTATAAGACAATCTTACTTAAATGAAATTGGGTAATTTTGATAATGCAATAGATACATCATCTATGGCCCTTTAAACAAGTTGAAATCGCAATTAAATTCTAATTTAAAATAATATATAACAATTTGATAATCTGTCAGTTTGAGTATTTCTCAAATTCTGCTTTGGATTCTGCTCTTTAGTAATAAATATAAATATTTTAAAGTGAGTGCTGATTTAGTAATTTCATGCTTCTTTTATGCTAAACGTGTATTTAATCTGTATTGTTTGCTCAAAAAAGACTCTGAAATTATCACTTTGGATGTTGAGAATCCCCTGCAGTTTTGAAAGAACAACAAATAAGAGAAAACACTTCACTTGCACACTAGTATAGCAAATTGTTTCAATTAACTTTGGAAGAAAAACTTCCATACAGAAATATTGTTCTGTAGTGTTAATTAATTGGAACTTGTAAAAAAGCAAAAAGTAGTTAATCATATTATAAAAATAGATGTGCATATATATTGTATATCTACATACATATATATAACATTTACATTACTGCACACGGAAGTAGTCATTTGAAGGAGTAATAATGTAGTATAAGTATTGAGAATACAATGGTTTATGACATGATATGTCTAGTGTGGATTATCATTTTTTAATGGTGCATCTAGACATCAAGATTAGTGACATTCTCCTGTTACACTGACAGAAATTCAGTGAACAGTGGCAAAATAATTAAATTCTGTGATGAAAGACTTTCAGTCACACTCAGTCAAAGCATCCACTCCAATTATTTAGCAGACCTTTACAGTACATTCTCTCTTTTAACCATGGTTGATAATTTTCTTGTAAACTTTGTTGAAGTGGGAACTTAAACTAAGCTTCCTTAAATATCCTCTTAGTACTGTAACGACCGCGGGGTTCATTAGGAATGGAGCAGGCATAGGACTTGGGAAAAGAGGTTAAACAACACATTTATTAAGCACAACTGGGGAAAGGTACACACACAGGGAAAGGGGTTACAGCGCTGCACCTACTGTACACCAACACAGACACGGGAAGAGCCCGCCTCACAGCCCCCACCCCCTTATATGCAGTCTGGTGCCCCCAAGTCCCGCCCCTCAGGCACTGTTCCCAGCCTGCCTTGCACGTGCATGGCCAAAGGGGACGGAGCAGCCATTAAAGTGCCCCAACTGGGCACTACAGTACTATACATAAACCCCTAATGGGAACTACTATTTTATAGTATTTTGGCCAGGAATCTTTGTTAAGGTTAAGATGACCTTTTAATATCTGTCAATTTTTAAACTGTTGTATATAAAGAGTACTATTAAGTGAAGCAAGGGCAAATCTCAGCAGCACTGGGATAGGAGATCTCTGGGGAAAAAAACATGATGTTTTATAGTGTAGGTTGATCAGTTGGTGGCGATCTTTCCTCTGGACTATAATTCTCCAAGAATATGTTCCAGCAAAATGAATGGGGACATTGTACTATTGGAAGTGCCATTGTTTGGATGAGACATTCCCCTTAAGTTTTGATTATTTGTGATCATACAATATCCTATGGCACTGTTTGTAAGAGTAGGAAGTTAGTCTCTGTATCCTGACCATTTCACATTTGACTTGCATAAACTGACTTCCCTAAACTTCCCCTTTAGGGTGGAGTGGTGGCTCTGTGGCTAAGGATCTGTGCCTGTGGCTGGTAGGTTGCTGATTCAAATCCCACAGCTGGCAGAGGAATCCTACATTGTTGGGCTCCTGAGCAAGGCCCTTAATCCCAACTGCTCCAGGGGTGCCGCCGTATAATAGCTGACCCACAGCTTCTCTCCCTGTCTGTGTGTCTCATGGAGAGCAAACTGGGTTATATGAAAAGACAATTCCTAATGCAAGAAATTGTAAAGGGTTAGTAAAGTGATGTTGTTTACATTAGTATTAATTCAAGTAGGAAAAACACTTCTCTCTTCTCCATCTGATCTGTTGTACAGTATATAGTGGTGCTACTGGAGATCACAGCTACTGAATATTAATCAGGTGGGTGGATAAAGTGGGTCTCCACATACTGTATATGTGAAACATTTAGGGTTTCTTTGGCAGGAAACGTTTCATCCAAATGCAATGAATTTTAATTATTATTTTCTATTTGCTTGAAAACCTACAATGTAAAATTCTATGGTGGCTCATGGACTGTAACCTAGCATACTGTACATAAATCATGGCTATAAATGATCTTCACATGGAACAGATCTGATTGAAGGGGAGATGAATAATGTAGATTAATTCAAAAAACACATTTGTCTCTTTCATTTAACACTTGAACACACTGCAAAATCCAAATATTATTAATCCAGTGCTAATGAGGCTCTGAAATGTGCTACTTCAGGGAGCCCTCCACTATAGATTTTAAAATCTGATTAAAAACACTAGCTAAAACAAACATCCACTGAAAAAAGCAGCATTTTTCAAATTAATTTAAAGGGTCAACAAAAAATGTTAGGTTAATATAATGAGAGGCATTAAATTATAGCAAATTGAGTTTTGGAACCAGTGGCATTTGTTGCTTTTTAATGCCTCTCAAAATACTGTTCATCAACATTTTCTCTGTAAAATATCTATTTTATCTATTTGCAAGTCCTGCAATCCAAGATATCCCATTTACTGAAGAGAATGTAGATGTATGTTTAAAAGGCAAAGAGAAACATAATGAGTATAGGGGGAAAATAATGAGTATTTTAAAATATAACTGCATTTATATCTTCCATATATAGTTTTAACGATATGTTTCAGACACTGGATAGTGTCAAATGAAATCTAAAAAGACAGACAAAGGTACAACTTTTCACAACGTGAGGTGACATGTATGATAATTACACTGGCACACGATTAGCTAAAAGGGTAATATTTAAACTAATTGCTTTGTTGCAGAAAAAGGAAGTTCACATCTACTGAAAAAGAAATAAAATACCTTGTCACACTTATAGCATTAATTTTAAAATTATGCTAGAATTATATTGAAAATACTATGTACTTGCGCTACATTTCCTATAAACATCTCACATATAATTTTTAATCACTCCAGTATAATCTGTGATCACTGAAAATCATGCCGCCGTCAGGTCCATTCATGACTGGAGATATTCCCAGAAGCACAGGCACAAGGCAGGACTGACAACATACAGTATTACTCTTACCCAAGGCAGAATGGCAGTCCTATACAGGGCCATCTTCCATAGATCCACACCTGGAAATTAACATTTATTATTACTAAAATTGTAACTAATCCTAATCCCAATCTCAGATGAATTGCATAGCATTATGAAGAACATTATCTGAATATTTGTACTATAAATTACATGCACACATTCAGCCACAGAACATAATTTGCTTATATGCATCTCTGCATCAAGTCCATGCATAATTCCAAAACTATAAAAAGATATATATATATATATTAATTTGCAACAAATTAGAAACAGAATTCCAAGAAGATTTGGAATTTAAAGTAAAAAATGCAGCCATCAATTGTATTCAGTGTAAGTACAGACCTCTAGCAATTGTTTTATTTGCAGACTAAATTCATTTTGTAATTCCTGCATTTGAAAAAGAAACAGATGATTGCTAAAGAAGGCGTACTGTATATGTAATAAGACTGTTGTAAATAGGTATATATACACTTATTTTAAGTACATACAGTAGCTGGAAAGAATAAGGTGAGGCAATCTAGAAACAATTTAAAGTTGGCATGACATGTCCCTGGGAAAAAATATTTGCTTATGTAACAGAGCAATAGTGACTTTGTTGCTGCACTGACAGACATTAATGATAAACATTCTATTTTCTCACCCACTGATCCATAAAGTCAGTGGTTTCCTGATAGACTTCATTAGCATTTTAGACTGACTTCCCTTCTTGCTTTCCAAATCTAAATGTATCCAAATGAGGATGAAAAAAAAAGAAAAATAAAGACCTAGTGACACATTTAGTGCCAGAATTACAACTTTAAAACTAATTACTTTGGGAAGTAAGATAATGCTTCCCAGAATTCCTTTATTTTAATACTTGCCTTGCCTACTAAGGCACCGCCAACCTTACAGCAAACATTCACAGTAAAAAGTTTTCTTTTTATTTTAGAAATTCTTTGTAAATGGAATCATGCTATATGCCAGTATAATGTTTATAATAATGTTATATGCTAAGATATTGAGTGAAAAGTGGCTTTTTATTCAATAAGAGATGTTATTTATACCAGTTTAGAATGCATAGCCTTGTTTATTCAGCTTTGCTCAGCAGTCCTCACCCTCAAACTGTGCAAGATGACATTTATACAGGTACATTAAATAAGAGGCATTCTCCATGCAACATATTAATTTATACGTGATTAAACAAGATGTAGCAGGGTCTAGTAAAAGTATTTTCTTAAAGTTGAAAAATACAAAAAAAATCAGTTAACTAGTTATATGGCATAAAAGTTTTAAATTAACTATAACAGATGTGCCCGACTCCAGTCCTGAAGGGCAGCATTCCAATTGCTTTTATAGGTCACTGTAGCACCTTAAAGGCACTTTAAGAAATTATTAATTCGATACAGTGGCCCTCCAGGCATGGAGTTGGACACCCCTAAACTAGGATATAACAAAAGTGTTTTTTGACAAGTAACCCAGGTATAAAATGCAAAGAGACAGAACAGTGATGTGAGTCAAAAAGTATAAAGAGAAACCACCAGATACTTTCTGCATTCTGTAGTGTGGCAAGATGTGAGATAACTTTGATATAATATCAGTTTTGAAGAGGCAAATCTAAAATGTCGGCATAGCATCTAAGAAACATGATGGATATGCTATCATAGTATCAGGAGAAGTCTGGCACTGATGCAAGAGGAAGAAAACCACTGTATGCTGAAGAATACAACTGTCAATGACAAAGATGAAAACTATAACAGCATTAAAGCTGAACAGATTCACCAGAGCCTCAGAAAATAAATACGTTAATAATCATAAACAGAAATAAAAAACACAATGTCCAAAAAATGTAAAATAAGTTTTCACAGGTTTTGCTGATGTTAGTGTATTCAGGTTATAACCTAAAAGCTAAATTTGTTTTTTTTAAGTGGAAAACAAACTTCAAACATTTGTTACCTTACACACATACAGTACTTAGGTACATGTGCAAGCAAACTCTAACCGTACTCAGTCCAACTTCAGTCCAAAAGTGTCCATTATTCATGACGCTGGCATAAAATACTGTAATAAAGTTTGTCATGTACAAAAGGTGTTATGTATTGTAATGTACTGTAGATATGTTTTATAATGTTCTGCTTAGCAGTACAACAGTATAAGCCATACTCATCTGTTCATATTTTCCAAACAACTCTGGCAATGATTTACTCAAATTCATTTGTAATCATAACACCATTTTTCCTATTGAGCTGTTGACTAATTTGGTGCTGAAATTTGTGCATGGAGTCTATGCAGTGCCTGGGTATTCATTTTTAAAGTGTTTCCCTTGTTTTTACTGCTCTACATTAAGAATTAATTGAATTTTGTGAAGTCACCCATGATTCTTAATTAGGACACAAAAATCTGTTAATTATGTAATGGTCTTAACACAAGGGTTTTTGTACTGTGACTAAAAATGAGGCTAAGATGTCCTTTAAATCTTCCTACTTTTATCATTTTGCAGCCTGTGATAACAAAGAACTGCTTCCTTTCAGAATCTGATTTATCTGGTTAGATTCAATAATAAATGCTAGCACTCACTATAAATTGCTTCTTTTCATTATGTCTTCCTTGTCCAGGTTAAAAGAGTACAGACTAATCTGGAAAATTTACAGTCTGCATAGAACAGTTTTTTCAGTTCGTATAGCTGTGTAATTATGGAGGGACAGAAAAAAGCAGAAGAGAGACAATGGTTGGAAATGTATTATTACTTTTTAAATCAATAAAAAAAACAATTTAACATAAGTATACTATTAAAAAAGCAGACTACAGTTGTAAACAAAATGCTAAAATAGTTTATTTCTCTACATATGCACTAATAAAGATTACGCCTTTTTAGGGTTTCATGTTTATTTTTTAAAACAGTAATAATGATTCAGAAACATATTTTCTTTAAACTGAAAACTATAACCACATTGAATTAAGAAACTGCTTAGAGCTTTTGGGTTTTTCTGTATTTTCTTCAACATTGTTAAAAATGAACAATGTTCAGTTAATTTACAGCTAACTACACTTTACAGAGTTTCCTTAATGATGCTCTTCAAGGTTTTGAGTTCAGTTTCACAATGTATCAGTAATGCATTATGCAGTGATGCAAACCAACACATTTCTTCATTTTGCTGTGATCTTGAACAGCTTTAGAGCAAAGAGTGCAAAGCCAGTCACTTTTCTTAAATACTGAATATAAATGATAATAAACCACACACTAAAGAAAACAGAGCATCAGCCGATAGAATCACAGAACAGCCGCTTCCTGTAAACATGCAAACAATTAATTTAAGTTCCGTGATAGAGTCACAGGAAACATTTCCTGATGTGCAAGCTCATATGCAGTAGTTATTAGAGGCTGACTTCATGTTCACCTGCTGCTGACCTAAATGTCTCTAAACATTACAAGCAGTCTGTCATTGTGCTTATGCCAATTACACCTTTTCAGCTGTATGGTCTTCAGCAAAAGGTCATTGCCTCTCTGTCACTGAGAGGAGCACTAGGGCACTGAAATGCTTGTTATGCTTAGTATTCATTGCAGCTCTGACATATCGGATGACAAATAATTGGAAGACATGCCACAAGATAACAGATGGGACATTCATAATAAGGTTTTATTTGTGGGGTTAGTTTAAGGCATATCACCCATTTTGTCCCCCTATTAAAAATCCTGACTCAGAAAATATAGATCAACGGACATTCTTATTTTAATTTTTCATTCAAGGAAATCATGTTCCACAAAACTATAAATCAAATACATATCCACTGCACTTCTATGAGATCATACTATCTTACAAATATCAAGATAAATGTATTGTTTGAATCAATAAATTAGAACAGGATGAGTCATTCTTGCCTGTACAAATATTACAGCTTTTGTCAAAAACTATAGAATTATAACGTGTTACCTAAAACCATAAGAAAGGTTACAAATGAGAGACCATTCACCCCATCTAGACAATTTAGTAGTTACAGTATTAGCTAAATGATCCAAGGCTTTCATCCAGCCTTTTTTTAAAAGAACCTAGAATATCAGCTTCAACAACATGGCTAAGTAGCTTGTTCTATACTCCCACAGCCCATATTTAACTTGTTTTAGCTTAATAGTATTCTAGTATTACCATACTAGTATTCTGCTTCCATTTGTCACTTGTATTATAGTTCACATTTTACAAGGATAATAAACATGCATTTCAATAAAAAAAACATACAATAATCTATTTTCAACAGGACAATTAAGGCAATAGGATTTATTTCTATTAAAATACAGTGTATTACAGGTGTGGGGATGTGATTCAAGATATTATGTTATTTTTTTTTTATTTAGGAAGCTTCCAATTTTTGAATTTGTAGTAGAATATCCAAATCCTTTTGTCACTCTAACCCTAGTCATTTTCTGAGAATGGGCACATTTGAACAAAACAGAAAGAGCATGGAGAAAATTATTAGGATTAATCCCTATGAACTGTAAAGGAAGAGCATTGATTGCTGCTATTTTGGGAGACTGAAACAGCTGCTAACGGTCAGTATTTTTCAGTGTGCAGCAGATGATACAGGCACCTAACAGCAGTCATGCAAACTTCATTTAGGCTTCTCATTTAATGGGAAAAACAAGGCACAGGTGGACCTTTCAATTATCTGACTTGCTTATCTCACTTACAGCTACTCAGTACCTTATTAGCCTCCTCATTTCACATCAGCAGACAGCACTTCCTGTTTCAGTTAACTGCAGATTCTCAGCATGTCAACTTAAGGCTCATTACACTTTTAAAGGAGACAGCAAATTGAAGCACACCTTCCTTTGTCCAAGGTGTTTGTTGACAATGTGCCGTGTTAATAAGCTGCCAGTTTAACCCACGGTCACCTTTAGAAAGCAGTTCTATCAGAGGCACTCTTTCCCTCTGCAAAGGCACAGCTGCTTTTAGAAAGATAATATCAGCTGCAGAGCTGCCTTCGAAGGCTGATTTGTACAAAAGCCAGAAATCCTAATTACGGGCTGTCAAAAAGTTGTCTGTATGTTAGGAAAAGCAAAAGAGCA